ATGGAACGCGCCCTGGGAAGGCGAATTGTAGGGACAAAAAGAGGAACTAATCACAGCTGAAATGACGTAACGAACCAATCAAGTCCAAGCGCGGATAATGATTGGGTTCCTTTGCCAGGACCATTCTCTTTCACTGATTGGCTAAAAGAGAGGCAAAGTTGCCGTCATTGCTTGTTTGAGTTTTTCATCCTAAACCTGTTGCAGAAAGCACTCGATGTAAAAACAGCCATTTTCCACACGTACTTGGAAAACGAAATTTTTTGTCGAGAGCTGGAAGGGTAAACAAATCACGGCTTTTCTTTCTCTTGCGATTTTCTTTCACCAATTTGCAAGATATGCAAAAAGGCCTATAAAATAGAATTCTGCCCGCTCGCGGAAACTGTTTTTCTTAGAATTAATATTTTTGCTTTAAGGTGGCTCCCATAGTTTTACGATTGCACGTAATCTGCGCGCGCTCAAAGGAAAACGTAAGTGTTTTTCGATTTTTATAATGTCAACATAGGGACAAAAAGCAGAACTGACAGTGAATTTTCTCGCGTTTCCTACAGTGAATTTTCTTTTAAAACTTGGTTCAGTTGTAACCACATACAATTCCTATAAAATACCCTAGCTATTTTTGTTAAAATCTGTCAGAGCTAATCTAATATATTTAGAAGAATGACAAATTACAGAATATTGGAAAAGCCGTCTGAACAACCTTGACTTTTAACCAATTCAAAACGTCAGGCAATATCATTTCCATGATCTGGAAAGTATTAAAAATTTTACCCAAGGAAAGTATAAATATTAAGGAGTTTAGGCCAAAATGAGGGATATATCTGCCTGTCATTAGATGAGATGTTGCTATGGCAACGGCTTTAATCCAAACATTGACATTCAAAAAATAAGCCTTATCATAAGAGTACCCATACTGGTAAATCTTTTACGGGAAAACGTTAAGAGAAATAAACTAAGTTTCCTTTCCTAGCTCGCGCAGCTCGCGCAGCTCGCGCAGCTCGCGCAGCTCGCGCAGCTCGCGCTCTATATAGGGAGGGTGTTCGTAAATACTCTAGTGAGCCACCTAAGACTACGTTTGATTACTCTCATATCGCACGGGCAGCTGGTTGATAAAATATTACAGGTTGGATTTGCCATTGCTTTACGAACAAAAAATTAACACATCGCCGAAAAGTGTTGATTAAAAGAGCTGGTTGAAATTGTACTCAAGGCCAAGATCGCTAGAGTGAGAGAAATCTTATATTGCTAATATTCTGGGGCAAAATAGCTGCAACTTTGTCCACATTTTTTTTCGTGTGTTATTTTTGTTTGAATGTCC